AACATTCCAGCAAGTACTGGAGTGTCTTACACAGCATATAACATTCCAGCAAGTACTGGAGTGTCTTACACAGCATATAACATTCCAGCAAGTACTGGAGTGTCTTACACAGTATATAACATTCCAGCAGGTATTGGAGTGTCTTACACAGCATATAACATTCCAGCAACTACTGGAGTGTCTTACACAGCATATAACATTCCAGCAAGTACTGGAGTGTCTTACACAGCATATAACATTCCAGCAAGTACTGGAGTGTCTTACACAGCACATAACATTCCAGCAAGTACTGGAGTGTCTTACACAGAGAGAGAGACGTGCTCTTCAAGAGCGAGAGAGACAGAGATGATACAAGAGCTGCATTAAGTGGAAGATTGGACCAAAATTGTACATTTACTCTCGGGTACTAATGTAGCCACTGTTAGTGCCACTGTAGCCACCAATGCTGCCACTATAGCCACCACTGGTGCCACTATCATCATTCTGTCATCAATGTCTGCAACCATTGCTCTGGCACCATGGTAACAGCCACTCAGCATACGATTTTTCTAAGATTTTGGAATTCTGGGACGCGTAATCCCCGTGTTAAAAAAAAAACGGAATTGTGCTTACACGAGAATTTTTTTCAGTCCAGTTTTAAAATATTTTGTAATATTCTTTTTAGTGTCTATTAGTATCTCCTCGTAAACTGAAAAAAAAGCATGAAAACAATAATTAATACCAGAAAAAATCTTTTTGAAACAATTTAAAACAATTTTAAAACTATATATATATATATATATATATATATATATATATATATATATATATATATATATATATATATATATATATATATATGTATATATATATATATATATATATATATATGTCGTGCCGAATATTTAAAACTGGTCAGTTAGCAAGAACTCATTTAAAATTAAGTCCTTTCTAAAATTTTCTCTTATACGTTTAAAGATATATATTTTTCATTAATGTTAATGTAAAAAAAAATTAATTTTGCTCCAAAAGAATCTTAGAAAACTTACCTAACCTTATAACAATAACAATTTATTTTAGCCTAACTCAACTAAATATATTTTAGATTTGTTTACAATAATTTAATACTAAACAAACACAGTGAAATATATTTTTTTCGTTAGGTTCAAAATGATTTTGGCGAAATTATTGCATACACAAATTTTCGCTTGTCCTATATGGCAAGAATAGGTAAAATTTCCGATAAAACTTGCGATTTTGGCTTAAATAGCAACGCTCTTCTTACCAAATAAGGCAAGCGAAAATTTGTGTATGCAATAATTTCGCAAAATCATTCTGAACCTAACGAAAAAAATATATACTGTATATCGTTAAACGTACAAGAGAGAATTTTAGAAAGGACTTAATTTTAAATGAGTTCTTCTTACCATTATAAAATGAGTTTTTTGTATCTATATTTGTATCACTGATTAAAATAACAAAGATGGATGTAACCAGCGTGAGATGACGGGATATATACACTGAGAGATGTTTCTCTCAGTGAGAGAGCTCGTTTTAATCCCTAAATTATAGGGATTATAAAGTAGTGTAGTTTGATGGTTTAATGGGTGACATGCAGTTTTAACGACCGTTTTATAGTTGATAAGCTTAAAATCCCATTAACCAACCAATAACAGACACTTTGTATATCTTCTCATGAATATATCATTCGTGTATATACTGAGAGCAACTTTAATTATTTTGTATCCCTGTTTAAAGGATTGACTTACAGCCTTAATGACCCTCTGTGTAGTCGATAGGCTTTAAACCTGACAACTAATTACAGACATGGTTATATACTCCGAGAGCTGCATATATCTCGGTGTATATAAGCTGAAAGCTTATAGTAACCTATGCTATGGGATTCAAGTATCCTTGACAGGTGAGGCAAAATCCAACATCCAGTTTTAATGACCCTCATGCAAACGATAGTCCCTAAACCCAATAAACCAACCAACTAAAACAATAATATCCAACAATATCCAATAATATCCAACAGTCATCAACCTGGAGGCAAGAACTCAGAATATCTCGAAAATATTTTGCAGGTAAAATTTTCTGTGAAAATATCGCATCAAATTTTATATTTGAGTGGAGACTGGGCGCCCCGGGTGGTGGCCTGGGCAGCCTCCCTCATCTTTAATATCTTATAAGATTATTTGACTTCAAAGCTTTCAGGGAGACATTTCTTTGAGTGGGCAGACACGATGCTGCTGAAGGAGTCTTGATGAAAAGATTACCTTCCATTTACCATGTGTTGCATGAGGCCTACGGCTCTATCCCTTTAATAATAATAATAATAATACACAAATAGCCTGCACATAGTAGAATGAAATTTATGACAACGTGTCGGTCCGACATGGACCGACACGTCCAAGTCGGACGGGAGATATCTTCCCTCCCAAAAACAGGTTAAGGCAGATTGCTGTCTACATCCACCATTCTCTGTTTGATTTGTTTGCTGTGTAAAAGCAGAGATCATAATCTGTTAACTGATAAATCTTTGTATAGTTTACATGTAATGAATCACCTAATGATGAGTTATTTGATCTCAGTCAACGACGATCTTGTTGACAGCAAGGTTCCTTTTGCAGCTTCAAGATACTCCGGATTCGATATCTGTGAATGTGTAGTTACCTCACCTTCAATATTCTTGAATCCACGGATGACATGATCACCCAATACTGGATTGCGATCAGGGGGCTTGTTCAGTGTTGTGTGAGTCACATCTCCAACGCCGGCTTCTCAGCGCCTGCTAGACGCCTTTGCTCTAGCTAGCATCGCTTCTACGTGTTGGTCGAGTACACACTGCTGATGATAATGCTGATGTAAGAGCCGTGCTCCTGACACGGGAGCCGTGCTCCTGACACGGGAGCCGTGCTCCTGACACGGGAGCCGTGCTCCTGACACGGGAGCCGTGCTCCTGACACGGGAGCCGTGCTCCTGACACGGGAGCCGTGCTCCTGACACCGGAGCCGTGCTCCTGACACAGAGCCGTCATCATTACTCCTCTCGTCATTATAGTTTCTGCAAGTATTTCCAGAAATACAAGCCATGTAATTTTCCTGTCTTAACAAATTAATCTGGCGTGAGCGAGAACGAGCTAGGCTAAGGTTGTTCTTGTATTCATCAGGAAAATTCACCTGACGTCGTTCTTTGTCATGTGATGGCCCGAGCACTTACCCCGTTGTTCTTTTAACAGAAGCATGTCAAAGAAGCAACGGCTGGTGTGCGGTGCTATAAAGGTCGGTGTGTGCTAACACCTTAATTTTTTTAAAGGCGTGGAGGGATAAGCCAGTGGAAGGTCTCGGTCAGATTACCAAAATCTCCAGCTTCAGGTCATCATATGACAAGAACCGCGTCAGGAAACACTTGTCCTGACAAACCTTACCTAACCTTACCAGTGCGACTTTTTTTTTTGTAAATGTTCCAAGTCGGACCGAAACGTCGTCGTAAGCTCCTCTCTTCTATGTGCGAGTTATTTGTGTATTGTTCCAGTCACGGTATTGTGACTTTTTGTTACAGTTATATACAATAAGCCTATACATATACACTTACGTTGTCAAGGAGTTATGTAGGTATTCAGTGGTAAATGTTTGTGGTTGGTTGTGCTTGTGTCCAGTGTGGGCAACAAGCTTGTGTTGGGCAGCAAGCTTGTGTTGGGCAACAAGCTTGTGTTGGGCAGCAAGCTTGTGTTGGGCAGCAAGCTTGTGTTGGGCAGCAAGCTTGTGTTGGGCAGCAAGCTTGTGTTGGGCAGCAAGCTTGTGTTGGGCAGCAAGCTTTGTTGGGCAGCAAGCTTGTGTTGGGCAGCAAGCTTGTGTTGGGCAGCAAGCTTGTGTTGGGCAGCAAGCTTGTGTTGGGCAGCAAGCTTGTGTTGGGCAGCAAGCTTGTGTTGGGCAGCAAGCTTGTGTTGGGCAGCAAGCTTGTGTTGGGCAGCAAGCTTGTGTTGGGCAGCAAGCTTGTGTTGGGCAGCAAGCTTGTGTTGGGCAACAAGCTTGTGTTGGGCAGCAAGCTTGTGTTGGGCAGCAAGCTTGTGTTGGGCAGCAAGCTTGTGTTGGGCAGCAAGCTTGTGTTGGGCAACAAGCTTGTGTTGGGCAGCAGCTTGCATGCTGGGATAACCAGGAATGTCGAATTACACAGAGCTTGTGTTATTTCATGCAGCCAGAATCATCAAGATACATTACTTAGACACGCAGCTGTGAGATGAAATTTGTTTTCCTTCAAGAATTACTGTCTTGAGGCAGCAATTTATGACTAGTGGTTACGTTGACGGATTAGAGAGTTTTAGAGACTGATGCTCAGCTGGAAGCAAAGTTATACCAGATTTATATTACAGATATTGTTTGTCCGTATAATGCGATGGGTAGACCGTGGGTGAGGTAGGTAGAGTCAAGTATACAGGTGGTTTACTGACTGGACTCTTTGGCTGGAGGCTGTGTGGCGATCCTACCACAGCCACCTGTCTCTGGTCTTTTAGAGAATACAAACCGTGACATTGGTATTGTATACCATTATCATATTAACTCTGTTTAACAAGATTTAATTAGTGCCCACGCAACCCTCTGATTCTGTGCCAAGCTGTCATGACCCAGGATAACCTTTGTAGATCCTGAGGTCACAGAGAGAGAGGTGCCGTGCTCCCTAATTGGGTAATTATATCCATGTGACTTCTCTCGATCCATAGATATTACTTATTTAAAGCAGTGTGACTGCAGGTGATGTACATGGCTGTGTCCCCATGGTGACTTAGTGACTGGCTCAGGTTTCCTGGTGACTCTGCATACATACAAGGGAACGACAATATGGATTTAAAAAAACACAAGTGCATACACTATGGATGCATTTCGGTCTTGGGATCTTCTATCTTCATATAAGTAAACGTTTGGGAACTATGTGGGGTCACCTTTTCCCCCCAACTTTGAGACCCCGGCCTAAATAACCCCTGGTGACCCCTGGTGACCCCTGGTGACCCCCTGATGATCCCTGTCCTGGTGACTTCATGCTGTTCATTAATCTTGAATTATATTTAGCTTCTCATTTCATAAAATTTTTTTCATTATGCTCCATTCCTATCTCCCTTTTCCTGCTGACCTCATGGCGACTCTGTCCTGCTGACCTCATGGCGACCCTGTCCTGCTGACCTCATGGCGACCCTGTCCTGCTGACCTCATGGCGACCCTGTCCTGCTGACCTCATGGCGACCCTGTCCTGCTGACCTTATGGCGACCCTGTCCTGCTGACCTCATGGCGACCCTGTCCTGCTGACCTCATGGCGACCCTGTCCTGCTGACCACATGGCGACCCTGTCCTGCTGGCCTCATGGCGACCCTGTCCTCCTAATCTCATGGTGACCCTGTCCTGCTGACCCCATGGCGACCCTCTCCTACTGACTACTGGTCCAGCAACTCCGTTTTTTTTTTTAATTCCGTTCTGTCAACCTCGTCACGGTGACCTTCGTCGTGGTGACCTGGTGCACGACAGACGTGAGCGTGGAACGACAGGACAGCACTACCGACTATGCAGCAGATAACTCTTCAGCGGAACAGTCGTCTACGGGGACACCGCTGAACATGTCACCTCGACGCGGCCATCCGTTCCTCACAGCAAGACATG